ATAGCCCCGCGGAAGTATGTGAAAATTACAAAATTTTCTATAACACATTAGATCGCTAATAAAACGGTATTTGCGATAATGCCTGTGCGATTCGAGCGCGACCGTACTTCAAATACATAGATTGAACGGCATCAGATGTCATTTCACGAGCTCTATGCTCTGTGTTAGCGGTCTAAATATATTATATAGAAATGTCTGGTCGGAACCGACATGCTCGCTGTATTGTTTGCCAAATACCGCACCGCCGCGACGCGAAGTGGTTTCTCTCCATGACGGACGACACGCAACAGTTTTGGGAAATGCTTTATTACACGTCGGTTATGCAAGACCGAACATTTCAGTCGCGATGATTCCCGGCGCGCGTATCTCTTTCGCCTCGCGAAACTCGAAATGCGAGTACACACCTTGCCGGCTGAAATTGGTCGGGTAAAAGGAAAGCACTTGCTGGGCGACGGGCGAGTTCGGCTGACCCTCGTCTTATTTGAATTTTATTTGACGGTTAGGAAAGCGTTGACAAATTCCATTCCGTTAAGTGGAGGCGCGGCTGACGTGTCGGGTTTCGCTCGCTCGTACCGAGACGCCGTTCCATTCGGCAGGGAGGAGCTGACGACGTGGTGAGGTATACCAAAGTTCTCCGTCGCCCGTACCACGAGGACGATCCGGTCTTTCCCGTCGCCTTTTGCTCTCTCTCCCGCCTATCCTGCCTGCCCTGTGCGCAACGCGCCTTTCCACTCTCTCTCACTCTCTCTCTCTCTCTCTCTCTCTCTCTCTTTCTCTTTCTTCTCCCCCCCGAGACTTCGCTCCGTCTTACGAGGGAAGCTGCTGAGAGGAGCATCCCTTTTCTGGATCCCATACTTCACCGATTCCGACCATCCGCTATCCTGCATCCCCCGCTATCTGCCATTCTATCCCTTTTCGCTCCTTTCACCTTACCCGTCGTTCCGTCGCCCCCTTCGATCTCCCTCCCACCCCTCTCTCTGCACCCCACAGTCTTTACTCTCGTTACACGTCGCCCCCTCGCGCCCGTCCTAACGTGTTACGCTTAGTTTGATTCAGCACGTGGTACCAGCCAGCTAGCGAAACTCTCTCTCTCTCTCTCGTCCCCTCGTCTCGTCGCCCCCTTTCCTCTCCCACTCCTCTTAACCCCACGGTGAACACTTTTCGCGTTTGCTTGTGCGAATTTGCGCTAATTTCGACATGCGCATTACGTGGCATTCTCTGTGTGTGGCCTAGTTTCATCGATCGACTGATTTCAACGGGCTCGAGGCTCCCTCGCGTAACATCTTTCAGAAAGCGGTACACCGAAATGTCAAGAGAGCTTTAATCGTTATTAACTTTGTGCTCGTGATAATTAGCTATTAATTTTTTTTTTACAAAAGACAGATGCATTTGTTTTTAAGCGTTGCGTTAAGAAAAAATATATTAGCAAATCTCAATTAATATAGTAGAAAAATTACGGAGTGCATTATGTGTAGTTGCTTCAATCCTTTTAATTCAGTTTCATAATTTATTGAAATAAAAATTTTAATTGTTTTAGATCATTGCCATTTAATCATAGACAATTAAACAATATTTACTAGTGCGCTTTTGCTTAAAATATTTAATTATATTAAATTATACATTTTTATTTGTAATATTGATTTATGATCTATGACTTAGAATGGAATATATAGAAAAATAAATTGATGAAAGAATGTCTATAATCAGCAACTCGTTCAACATAATGCGCAATTATTTGAGTTTTATTTCTAATTTCTTATTAAATTCAAAAATACATAAAATATTATTTGATTTGATGTGGATATTTAAGTCAAGAGGAACCGTCAAGACAGTGAGCGATTTCGCTTGAGATGTTTGCGCAGAATGAGAGAAAAGTATATTCACATCATAATGGAGACTGGGCGCAAAAGGATTAAAGCGCAATCTCCGTTCCGTAACTTGTCAGAGAAGTATATTTATTATTCTTTAGCAGACGTAAGTAGTATGCAAGAGTTATGTCAGAACGCGGTGGGAGATCTCGGGAAAGTTTGAAGTATAAGTAAGATGTAAACGTAGATCTCGGCGACAGAGAATTCCCGGGATTTGTGGCTGCGGCTGCTTTACATATTAACTAATTCCACCATTCGGTAGGAAGTTTGAATTAGACCATTCCCCAGTTAGTAATACCGCGTAATGCGGTGCGACGCGCGGTTCGAGACTGATTGTAAAGGGTGTCGAAATGTATCGGCAATCCAACGTTGCTAACTAACGCCGGCCGCGGCTCTCTGAAACGGAAAACAACTCTCTCGGCAAAGCGTTCTTTTTTCCCGCGTCATACTTTTCATCCATTTTATTTTCTTATAACGAACGCACGCAATTAACAAACAAGTACAATAATAATACGAGAGATGAGTTTTGCAATATCATAATATTGCGTATTATCGCATTCGGACATTGCAAAATCGAGATAAATTTATTTCTCAAAAGATGTGTCTTGAATCTCGCTGTAATGAATGTATGAAACGTATAATTATAAATAAAAGGAAATTGATAAATATTTATTATTAATAATAAATGTTTATTGGATATATATTTCTCATGTCTAGTGATAAATCAGCAGTTCGATTGTCGTAATATGCGACGAAAAATATAGGATTGATATTAATTAATATTTATTGAAAGAACAGGAGAATTACTGATTATGTGATAGAGGATCGATTTTATAATTCATACGAAGTAATATTTTAGTCCTGCGGGGCATTAATTTTTTTTTCATAAAGCAGCAACGCGATCAATCTATCCACGCGTGATTCATTTTGTCGCATCTCGTCGCTGCAAATGGAAAGTGCGATTATCTATCGGCGAAATCATGTATTACGCGTGAGAAGCAGACTCCGATAAATAAAGATTCGTATTTACTTTATCATAAGCGACGGTGATATCATAAGCGACGCGTCGACATGTTTTTCCTGGTCTCCACTTCTGCCGATAGTCTCGCACCTGCGTCGCGACTAGCAATCTCAATGCCGCGATATTTTGACGGTTACCTCGCTTCAGCAATATCGCCGTCCTGCAGACGTGTGCCGCAGTCACGTTGCGAGAGAGAGAGGGAGAGAGAGAGAGAGAGGCGCAAAGGATTCGCGCGGATGATACGGCAGAAGAAGAGAGGGATGTTGAGAGAGATGTTAAGACGATCGGGGGAGGAAGGGGGGGGGAGAGAATGAGCAGCGCGGGACGCAGGTAAGCGGTAAGTTTCTAACGAGAAGCATTAGCGGAGTGGACGAGGCGACATCAAATATGTAGATAGCGCTTCGGGGAATTTCTCCGGAGAACAAAGTTGCTACAACGAAGGCCGTGGCGAAAGGGCGGGGGAGACGGAAGATGCGCGGGGTGGAGACGGTCGAGGCGGGAGGGAGAGGAGAATGGGTAGGGAGAAGACGCGTCGCGGACCGAGCTACCGTCTCATCCTTGGAAGATTCCTCGCGGCACCAGACTCCCCTGTGGTACGCGTCTACCCTCCGTATGCCGGATAATAATGGGAAAGTCAGCCTAGAGAGGCCCTCGCGCCGCTGCACTCGGAGCACGAATTAAGTCTGCGGAAACACCGTCGCGACTGGAATTGATTAACCTTCGCGCGCGCGATGCCCGGAACCGTCCGTCGCCCCGGTTACATCCGCCGTGTTTCCACCGATGCGATCACGAGAGGGCCAGACGAGACTCACTCCGAGTCGGTATTTTAATTCGATTGCAGAGCCATCCGCCAGGCCTGTATTATGAAAGATTCTCATTAACATACGTAATCGCAATGCTCGTGCGAAATTAGTATACAAATAATGTCATTAATTTCTCAATATTACGTAGGAAAGAAAAATAGTTGAAGAAGTTTTTCGACGAGTCGAAATGTTTTCGACCTAAACATGCTCCAATTTTACTCACATCAATTTTCGTCATTAAGAGTTGGTGAACTGAATTGAATTTTATCATGATGAATCAGCTGGATAAATTTACAGACTTAATATATCGTGCGTTGATCAATGGTTTCGCTCGTTGATTCGCGGAGAAGCAAATAGATAGTGAAAAAACTTAGCAAAGGTTGAATTAGTCGACAATTCTAAGACTTATCAGCGAGAGGCGCTTAATTCTTGCGCCGTCAAAGTCGACTACGGTTACTTGATGGATTGCTTCTTTAGCGTGCACGGAACTGACGCTTCAATGTCCGACTCACGCAATTCTTCAATGTGTCAAATGTTACAATTAATCTTATTTTTGTAAAGACCCGAGTAAGATTACCGGAATATTCTGGTATTCAACCGAAATGTAATTTTCTGTCACGATATTTCATCATCAGTTATTGTGCGAAGGTGATTTAGCGCGTTACAATGAATGCGAACCGATCGATTAAGAAATATAACATAAAACTCACGTGCGTTCGGACTCTTGGACTCTTATCAGAGTCTTCATACATGGTACACATGAATTTTACATCATGGACATGATTAAAAAAATGAAATTCAGCGAGAACACATTTTAGTACATTTTGTACGTTGTTGATTCGAGTTTTATATAAGCAAAGCTACAATATTCATGCATAGAGTTATATATAGACATTGTGAATTAGAAAATTGATGTTGCACACAAATATTTTTAGCGGAATAATATTTCGGCAGTTTATCTGACTTCCTGTACTTCCTGACTTTCTGTACGGCATGTTTTATTATAGAGTCGTGATAAAACTGCTTAAATTCGCTTGTTTGAATTGTTTCAAACGATGATTCCAACCATATCATTGCAAGACTTATTTATTTTTTTTGCTCGACTGTACAAGACTTAAATTAAAATTCAAAAGCAAGATATAAGAAGTTGAAACTGAATACTAAAATGTAATAATTACATACTTTGACTGGTAATTAGTGTATCTTGCTACAATGTATTTCATATGCTATTTACATGCTTAAAAATAGAATAAGTGGAATTGCAAATATATAATACGACGGAATTACATCGTTTTGCAGTATGTTGAAAACTGTTCGTGCATTTACATGGTAAAACATTCTATGGAAAACATTTTAATATTTCATAGTAAAATCATTTATTGCTCCAGTATATATTATAAAAGTGATTTTTAACAAATATTTTTTGTGTGATAACAAAAGTATTGAACCTTTATAGAATTATACAAATTCAATAAAGTGCAAACGTAACGACTCGTCTCGATATTCAGTATCGGATACATTTGAGTGAAGCAACAATTGGATTAATAATAACATAAATGTTTTAAATATTTACCTTTCAGATAAAATAATAACAATGTTAATCGAAATATTAGTTACGATTATTATAACTTTTTTAATTTTTACATATTTTTACCATAAATACGTGATTTCGAATTTCTGGCGTAAAAAGAATGTGTTTTATGTTGACCCGAGCGCAGCTAAAAACTACATGGCTGCTTCCTTTGGACAAGTAGCATTGGGCAAGTATTATTATTATGCACAATACAAATAGCATATATAATAATAATCGTTCAATTCTATGATACATTATGCTTACATGGAAAGTGTTATTTCAACAGGAGAATTTTTCCGTGATGTTTACTTGAAATATAAAGATCACCATGCATTTGGAATGTGTATGTATTTCAACCCAATGTTAATGGTTGCCGATCTCGATTTCATTCGAACGGTGTTAACAAAAGATTTTTCAAATTTTCACGATCGTGGCATGTTTTGTGACGAAAAACATGATCCACTATCTTGTAATTTGTTTAATCTCACTGGTACAAAATGGAAGAATCTGCGCATCAAGATGACGCCAATCTTCACTCCAGGAAAAATTAAGCAACAATTCCCATACATCAATGAAATTAGCCAGCGCCTTGTAAAATATTTAGAAAAGGAAGCTCAAATGAAATCTACCATAGAAATGAAAGATTTGTTTGAAAGGTGAGCTGAATAATACGCGCAATGGTTATAAAAGTAATTTATGAAAAAATTTATTATGATTAAGAAACAAAATAACGTTTTGACGTTAACTACATTATATAAAGAAAATTACATATAAAAGTAAGCCAAAATTTATAAAACAGAATTAAAGAATTCTGTAATAAGCAATTACAGAAAAATAATGAAGAATAAATAATGAACAATTTTATTAAAATAATTTATTAATTGAGTACAGATACACAACTGATGTAATTATGTCAACGGTTTTTGGAGTGAATTCCGACTGCATCGAAAATCCGAATAACGAGTTCGGACACTGGAAACGAAGAGTCATAGAACCAAGTCAACTTCGTATCGTACTCTCTGCTTATGCTGCTAAAATTATAAAAATTTGGCAGTTTTTATCTATCCCTATCACACCCAATGACGTTACAAACTATTTTATAAACCTGTTTCAAGTCAATATGGAGAACAGGAAAGCCCACAATATTGTTAAACAGGACTTTTTGAATCTCCTAATACAACTTGTGGACACAGGCTACATTAAATCTGATGATGTCAAAAATACCGTAGATATGTCTTGTAATTAAATATTTTTTTCATAGTAATTAATGACATCTATGAAAAAATTACTCTAGTAAGAGTATTTTAGCTCCAAGTTTTACAAAGTTTTATTTTTATTTTTTAAATGTTGAATTTCTATATTATTTAAATGCGTACTTGCTATGCAAAATTATCTATCTACATATTGCGCACATTGCTACACATATAATAGAATCACATATTTATACATAAGACAGTTTTAATATTTCATTTTTATATAGCAATCGCGACTGAAAAACTTACGATGATAGAAGGAGCTGCGCAAGCATTTATCTTCTTTATAGCTGGTTATGAAACTTCTGCGACGACGGCGTCGAATTGTATGTATGAATTAGCTCAAAACCAAGACATTCAAGACAAACTGCGTAATGAGATCGACGAAATAATTAAAAAGCACAACGGACTAAGCTATGACGCGCTAAATGAAATGACATATCTGCATAAAGTAATCAATGGTAATTATAAAATATCATTGTTATAAAAAAAAATAATTTTATTCTTGCGTCATGACAAAAACTTTGTTTTTTCTCATTTCTTATGGGTAAGTTCAAGGTTCAAATAATATCATCGTTTTCGTTAATTCTTAAATTAATGAGACATGCGCTTCATATGACAGAGACTATGAGGAAATATCCGCCTGTTCCGTCGATACACCGCATCTGCACCGAAGATACAATATTTCCGCCGAATATTCAGGTGTCAAAAGGAACTGCCATTATTATACCAGTATTTGGACTCCATCGAGATCCGTTGATCTATCCAGACCCCGATAAATTCGATCCCGACCGCTTTAACGCAGAAGAAATAGCAGCCAGACATCCTTATGCGTATTTACCTTTTGGAGAAGGACCAAGAATTTGCATAGGTTTGTTTAGATTTGTTCGACGCGTTACTGCAGTGAAAATAAGTTTATGCGAGAATTATTTTATTCTGACGATTATATAAAAGAGAGACTTCTCTTATTAATATAGCAATGTATCATTTACAGCTGCAAAATTGGGCTATTTGCAAACAAAAATTGGTATTATCAATGTTTTATCGAAATACAAATTCAAACTTGCTCCCCAAACTCCGGTTCCGCTAACATTCAAGTCCGCGCCTATTGTTCTAAGGGTTAAAGATGATATACATGTTATAATTGAGCCGCGGTAAATTGGTAATTGTGTAATTATTAGAATTATATTATTGAAAGAGATATAAAGATCGTCCTGAAAAATCTTTTACATGTATTAATATACACTGTACATTGCTTCGAAATACACATTATCAAAAGTTGTGTGCGCATTTGTTCATAATTACAAATTCCTGATTGTTTAATTAATTATCGCTTCTAACATTTTAACACTAGATATACTAGATACTTGATATCAAATCGATATTTATATTCTTATGTTGATTTAATATCATTTATTATCATTTACAAAATCATGTTTAAATACATAATGAAACAATTTTTTTTATTTTATGATACGTAATGGCTTGCGATAGATTAATATTACATAGCGACGAGGATTTAGTACTTTCATATTTTGCACGTGAGTGAGTTACATATATCTATTTTATTGGTGACGGTATCAATGTCCAATAAATCCAATTCATTCGTAAGAGTGATATTTAAGACGAACGAGCGTTTCGTCATCATAAAAACCTCGTGGAAAGCCGCGGCGCATTTGCATTCTTACGGATACGCGCATGGCGACTCGTACGGTCGGGAAATATCGTCCCTGATATCTCTCGAATCCTCGATGGCGGACTCCATGCAGCGAGCGAATGGTTTTTCGCCGCGCGCGACGAGATTTAAGTTGGCGAGTACGTCGTTGCAAACGGAATTGATTAAAGCGCGGAGCGGGTGCATGCGGTTCGCGCGAGCGCGACATCGGCGACTGCAGCAGCCGGTGTCCCATTTGTCAGACGTACACGTGTGCACGCGGCGGATAGGCGGACAAGGTGATAACGGCGCCTACGGAATGCGTCTGAAAAATGTTTCCGGCTCGCCGAGTGCCGGTGCACACCATGCGTGGATGATGCATTTTCCGCGGCACCCTTAAAGGGGCGCGATCGTTAAACCGCACGTGCGCGCGCGCGAATATTCCTTTTGCCCGCGTTTTCTCCCCTTACCTCAGAGGTGGAAATCCCTCACCTACTGACTCTTTCAGCATAAACGCGTTACTCGGTATTGAGCTAGATAAAGCGGGAAAACGTTACAAATAGGATGTTAAAATTATTATGGGTAAAAGAATGTAAATGGGAAAAATTTCCAATGGTTTAAATTAACTGCAGCAAATTCTACCAGGTTTTTTTTTTTAATAAGAATGAAAGATTAAAAATGTAATTTATTGGACATTGATAAAATTGGAGATCGATAAAAAACGTACCCAAAAATGCTGGAAAAAGTTATCTCTTTAAAGTTAAATTGTTTTATCATCCCTCACATTCATCGCATTACGATTATTCATGTATAAATTTTATGATCCATTTAAAATTGAATTTTTCTGAATGGAAATTTAATCGATTATTGGATACTTAATTGTCATTTAAGATAACACATCTTTGCAGATAAACAATAATGTTATCAATGAAAAAATGCGCAATATCAAGAGTTTGTTGCGCTAATAGTTTAACAATATATAACAATTTACTCTACACTTTCTTCCTTGCACCTTGCACGTGCGTCGTCTCTATAATAATAATATATAGCAGAAGAACTTCTATAAACTCTGCACGACATCTTAAACTTTTACATTGCATAACTGCTTTCGTGGTTTCCCTATCATAAGTCACGACGAATCTCCGTAGAGTCCTAAATATCTTAACAACTTTAATACTTTAGCCGGCGCGATAATTTTAGCAAAGGTGGCCCATGAGACATGAATTATTTTCAGTCACAACGTTGGTTACTTAAAAGTAAATATAATATTCTACATTGTACGTTTTTGATTGTGTATTAATAATGTATATTGAGAAATCAGACTTATTTTTAATCGTGTTGCATTATTTTGCTGTTTACAATTTATATGAAAATATTACGTAGTTAGCAGATTAAAAAGTCTGTGTATATAAAAAATAGAAGAAGAAATATCTGAGTATATTTAGAGAGAAAGAGAGAGAGAGAAGTGTATGTAAGGTAATTTTTTTAAAAGTATTTGTTTAGATATTGTTTTTTTTTAGTGTCATTTTTTAGTTTATTTTAGTTTTACTTTGCATTTAGGTTCTTGAATTGTGTGATGGCGTAAATATCGGTGTAATTTAGTAATTCAACATTTTTCATCTACACGATATGTGGTATCACGATAAAAAATACAAATTATTGTTTATACACAGAACTTGTGATAAATGCAGTTGTAAATCATAGTTTGTTTAACGCGATTCCTTTTGCGCCATTAATTTTTGTACGTGTATCACGCGCTAAACCCGTGCCTTGATGCATTGCTTTTAACGGATTAGAAGGATATCGATCATGATATTAAGTAGCTTTCACGGTAGAACGGCCATTAGATTTGGACACATGTGCGTAGCGAATCACCGCAGTGTTTAGTGATGCGAATCACAGTGACATTAGAACGGGGAAGACACTTGTAGGGGGCATTGATAAAAGTTAGACGGACAGCGAGGGGTACATTCTTTGTTAACTGGTTATGTTCTCCTCCTGATTTATTCGCTCCCTCTCTATACGAAATATCATCATAACGTGACAAAGTATATGAGAACTGTCAGAACTGAAGACCGCATTGAACGAATGTTTGCACGGTAAATTGGTGTACAAAATAACAGATGACTTCTCTGATGCCTGTCTGGCATGTCGAAAATGTTGATACGATAAGCGCACGTTCTGCAAAAGCTTGATGTAATGGTTCATATGGCATAACGATATAGTCTGCTCGCTCATTGCGCCACTAGTAGGCGGTATTCATTAGTTAGTTTGCGTTTGATATTGCAGATGCTCATACAGCGTTTGAGGTTGCGCACAATCCGCATCACGGTGTGCCGTTAACAAAGGATTTATGGTATTGTGCTTATGCCGGCTAAGAGCGCTGCACTTGGCATAATACCATGGACCTGTCTAGATTTACTCACAATCAGACTAAAGTAAATGCGCGCGTATTCTCATGGACTTGGGGAACAAAATCAGCAGTGAAAATGATTTCTTGCATAATGCCTGTGACGTAATTTATTACGTTATATTATAATATATATTAAAAATATTTTTACAAAAATATTTTTTACTATTTAAAGATTATTTTTTTAAGAGTTTTATAAATAATATAAATAGTACAAATATATTTATAAGTAGTACAATACAGAGAAGTAATGTATCTAAAATTGCTATAGAAATAATTTATTGTTTTTTAAGGCAACAATATAAATTATTTTCTTATATATATATAAATATGTTATAAAGAGTACATTGCTAAGTTTAAAGTTAAAAAACACGTGTAAAAATGAAAACTTTTTCTAACAGCTTTTTAAAATTTATTCCGTTTTCTTATGAAAAACAAGTAATTTTTGCATATGGATAAGTTACCTGTGGCACTCAGAAAGTTAAGAACTAATGTGCGATAATAACACACTTTAACAATTAGCATAACAATGCATTCTATGCATTATTTGCACGTAAACGTGTTTAAAAATAAAGCAGATAAAAATGCAAACATTAGATTTGAGTCATACGTTTCACTTCTTATATGAATACTTGCTATTGATAAAAGTTAGTTAGGCATGATGTAATATTTTGCAGTTTTGAAAAATCAATTGCATGATACATACATTCTATTATAAAACTACATATTATTCTCATTGCACTGATTATTTTGTGAAAAAAGTGAATTTAAATATAAACATTTATTGAATAATAGGTGTTTGTGTTTTCTCGTTCATGTTTAGGGATTGAAGCGATGATCAAAGCTAATTTAGTATCATGCAAATAAAAATAAATATGTATGCAGTTCATGAGTTTGCAAAATAAAATTGGTAGCGAGAATGATTTTTCAGTTAATATTCGTAGCATAATGCACTACAATCGTGTAATTAAATGCTTCAGTATTCCTCGATTACAATAATAATTCACGAAATTGTCCAAATAAAGCAGAAAAAACACACGCATGCAAATGTACGTATCATGATAATTCGGTGAATTCATTACGCATTCAGGTAGACGGTAAATGAAAACTAATTAAATGCATGAAAAAATTGAGGAAAACAATAAAATGGTTTTTTCACTTTCTCGTTCAGAATTTTATCCCATACATTGGATACATAACTTTAATTGATTTCTGAATTATTAAAGCAACAACTAAGATTTATAAAAAAAATGACGGAAATGTACATTTGTATATTTCTTTGGTGAAAAAATTTACTATAATAGCTTTACAATCAATCTACACATTCTACATGCATTACATTCTAATGCATGTATTCTATGTACATTATAAGCAGAAATAATAATCTTAAAAGTAAAAATCACAATAATTCGTACTCTTTCTCGTAATAATATTTTTTTTAAAGTTACCAGTTTACGCATTACGGAATATATTTAATATCGTCCGATAATATAAGCGTGTATAGGATCGAATATGCGAACACGATAGAAACAAGATAACTGCACTGATTGCATGAGTTAAAATATATTAGAAAGGGCAGTAACAATAACAATAGCATCAAACGAAAATAATGGATAATGGAAAAACACATGTAGTAAATAGAAATAAGAGTTAACGTGCACTCTCGTTGAATTATAAATGTTTACCAATATTTAAAGCATATTCTTGATTGTGTTTAAAGTAATAGTTAATATTTTTGTCATATCTTCGGAGAAGATTTGATGAAAAAATAAATTTATCAAATTTGAATGGTTAAGTCAACATCATTATACACATAACGATATTAATAATGTAAACATATTGTGTGTAACAAGCTGGCTTGTTATTCGCATTTATTATTCACATTTAAGTCTAACCTTGCGATCGAAACGACGGTTTATCATCGAAATCGCAGTATAATATGTGCGTGCTTGTATTTCTGGTTATTAAATCCGCATTACGAGAAATGGACCTTGCCGCAGTACGATTACGATTTAAATATTCAAACATTACTCAGTGCTTTAATTGATCGATACTCGTTTGCTCAGACGTCATACCGTAATTCACGGCATAACTGCATATATAAACACGCGCGACACATTAGTTCGGCTCATCCAAAAATGGGTGAAGCGTATCGCTTTCGAATTTAATACCGAAAGAGGATTATAATTAAAATGGAACGTATAATAAGCACAGATGC